TAGCTGGGTATAGTGGTCAGTGCCTACAGTTCCACTTACTCTGTCTGGAGGCTGAGGCAGGAAGACTGCTTGAGCCCAAGAGTTCAAGGCTACAGTGAGCTATGATCATGGAACGGCACTCTAACCTGGGTGACAACGAGATACCCGGTCTCTAATAAAATAAATAAATAAATAAATAGCAGTGAATACATGGGAAGGGTCTTTGTAAGACTATCAGATTTGGGGAGATTTGTTTTGATTTATCAGAAACGCTGAGACAAGTGAAAGAAATGTTTTTGCTTATACTGATCAACTTGACTGAGAGCCAGTGCCTTGGACAACAATGACATACCATCTCATCTTTAAAAGATTTCATTTATTCATCTTTTTTTTAGTCTCACTCTGTTGCGCAGGCTGGAGTGCAGTGCAGGATCTTGGCTCACTACAACCTCTGCCTCCTAAGGTTCAAGCGATATTCTTGCCTGATCCTCCCCAGTTGCTAGGATTATAGGTGTGCGTCACCATGCTCGGCTAACTTTTCTATTTCTGATGGAGATGAGCTTCACCATGTTGGCCAGGCTGATCTTGAATTCCTGACCTCAGGTGATCTGCCCGCCTCAGCCTCCCAAAGTGCTGGGATTACAGGTGTGAGCCACAGCACCTGGCCTTTATCTATTTTTTAAGAGATCCTTCTCTTAAAAAGCAACATAGTTAAGACTTTGCTTCTTAAAAAAAAAACAAAAACAAAAACAAAAAAAACACAGTACAAGCAATAAATCCTATCACCACCAATAAAAAAAATCCTATTAAAAAAGGTGTGTTTTGGGAAAGTCAGCAATCCTCAAGAATACATGGCCACGGAGCTTTAGGACAAAGGTAGATCAGCTTTTTTTTCTTTTGAAACTTCTTTTTTGATACAGGGTCCCACTCTGTCACCCAGGCTGGACTGCAGTGTTACAATCATGTCTCACTGCAGCCTCAACCTCCCAGGCTCAAGTGATCCTCCCACTTCAACCTCCCAAGTAGCCAGGATTGGCTTGTCTTGAACTCCTGGACTGAAGTAATTCTCTCACTTTGCTCTCCCAAAGTGCTGGGATTACAGGCCATGAGCCACCACGTCTGGCTTAAAGCAACTTTTTTTTTTTTTTTGAGGCAGAGTCTGGCTCTTGTTGCCCAGGCTGGAGTGCAATGGCAGGATCCTGGCTCACCACAACCTCTGCCTCCCAGGTTCAAGCAATTCTCCTGCCTCAGCCTCCCAAGTAGCTAGGATTACAGGCATGTGCCACCACATCCAACCAATTTTTGTATTTTTAGTAGAGACGGGGTTTCTTCATGTTGGTCAGGTTGGTCTCAAATTCTCGACCTCAGGTGATCCACCTGCCTCAGCCTCCCAAAGTGCTGGGATTATAGGTGTGAGCCACTGTGCCTGGCCCAGTGCAACTTTATAAAATAACAAATTTTACTCCAACAATGACAGAACGGGAAGACCAGGGTAAAGTACTTTAATCAGTAAATAATTCACAGCCTATTAAAATAGTATGATTCATTTATTTAGTTTCTCTCAGTACCTCTATTCAGTACTTTTTGAATTTTCCAGCAATATATTTCCTTTACCTAGTTTTTGAAAGTGTTTAGTAATAAAACTTTTGGTTGAATTAAAAGAAATCTGTCAATCATCAACTTCCTAAAGATAGACTAAACAAATTCTATGTGTGATTCTTGCATTGTTGCAGAAAATTTTCACCACGAAGATAATTCTGCACAAAAGACATTTACTTTCACTAAAGAAGCTAGGTGCAGTGGCTCATGCCTATAAATCCCAGCACTTTGGGAGGTAGGTCGATCACCTGAGTCAGTTCGAGACCAGTCTGCCAACGTGGTGAAATACCATCTCTACAAAAAATACAAAAATTAGCTGGGTGTGGTGGCAGGTGCCTGTAATGTCAGCTACTCAGGAAGCTCAGGCAAGTGAATTGCCTGAACCTGGGAGGCAGAGGTTGCAGTGAGCTAACATCTCACAATTGCACTCCAGCTTGGGAAACAGAAAGAGACCCCATCTCAGATTAAAAAAAAAAAAGAAAGAAAAGAAGCTGAGTATGGTGGCTCACGCCTGTAATCCCAGCACTTTGAGAGGTCAAGGTGGAAGGATAACAAGGTCAGAAGTTCAAGACCAGCCTGGCCAAGATGGTGAAACCCCGTCTCTGCTAAATATTAGCTGGGCCCAGTGGCAGAACTCTGTAATCCCAGCTACTTGGGAGGCTCAGGCAGGAAATCACTTGAAGTCAGGGGTGGGGCGGAGGTTGCAGTGAGCCGAGATCGCACCACTGCACTCCAGCCTGGGCAACAGAGGGAGACTCCATCTAAAAAAAAAAATAACAGAAAAGAAAAGAAAGGAAACATACCACTAAGTCTTTGAAAGGATGAAGCAGCAGCCCCAAAGGAAGTTTGGCTTTATTCAGTAAGGCCTGAGTCTGAGGAATGCTAGTCAGTGTGCATCGAAATAACCTATATCAAAGTAAAATGTATGTATAAGTTGCGGCTATGATTACTTTTGAACAAAATAACTTCAAAGATTTAAAAGGTATACATTTTAATACTGGATCGGATTACAGATGAAATATCAATAGATTCTCTGAAATTTTATCCTATTTAAATATTGAAGTCTAAGTCCTATGCAGAAATAGAGTAGATGGTTATGCTACATTATATAACTAAAACACAGTCTCATCTTGGCTTGTGTGCAAAATAGTCTAAACTTATTTTTTGTTATGTAAGTGACACTGGAATTAAATTAAATTTGGGTGACAGCCCAAATTGCAAAGTTTATTATTTAAAAGTTCAGGACAGGCGCAGTGGCTCAAGCCTGTAATCCCAGCACTTTGGGAGGCTGAGGTAGGCAGATCACCTGAGGCTGGAAGTTCGAGACCCGCCTGACTAATATGGAGAAACCCCATCTCTACTAAAAATATAAAATTAGCCAGGCGTGGTGGCGCCTGCCTGTAGTCCCAGCTACTTGGGAGGCTGAGGCAGGAGAATCACTTGAACCCAGGAAGCAGAGGTTGCAGTGAGCCAAGATTGCACCACTGCACTCTATCCTGGGCGACAAGAGTGAAACTCTGTCTCAAAAGGAAAAAAAGGTTCAGTTTTACTGAAGATTCTAAATACAATTTAAAGGTATCAAATTTAATTTATCAGAAATTCTTGATCACACATATTTAAGCTTATGGTAAGTTTTTAGGAAGAAAAAAAGATTATGTTTGTTATGAAATCAATTTTAAATGACAGCAAATAAAGGATTATGTAGAATAAAATCCCTGTACTTTGAAGAAAGAATGTAACCACCATAATGGTAATGAATTTCATAATCTCATTAGAGCTGATAAGAACAAAATCAGTTCAGGGGTTAGTTACATCCCTATTTCTTGACATAGGACTTTTCAAATGTCTATTAAGTAAACAAGTAAAAGAGTTCTATCTTGTGTATCCAGAACTTCTTTCATAAATTAATAATTTGTGCAGCTTATTCATAACAACTGATGTGCTGCCCTTTTAAAAAGCAAGAAAATTTTTAGGACATGAATAACATCACATCTGAAGCCTTACTCTGGATTACAGTTGAGTTTCTGGATGTCTTCATGCAAATTTGGAACTGGAGGCTGCAAAGGTGTTGATGGAAGCATGTTTCTTTCTTGAAGAAGATTGACAACTCTTAGACCCTCTGGATGTAGACTTAATCCACTCATGCTTGTGGTTAAATGATTAGCACCTAAGGGAGTCTACAGATATATAATTTCAAAGTAAGTAACTTTTATTAAGTGTGTAGAAAAGTGGTTAATTTCTCTGTAAATAACAAAAGTGTAATCTAGATCTCTTGGCCAATCTTTTGGTTCTGGAAAAATGTGTAAAGACAAAGGCTTTATGATATATCTATTATTACTCTAATTGGTTATAAAAATGTATAAGATCTCTTCCTAAAACTTTCTTCATGTGTATACAGTTTAAACCAAATGGAGAAATAGGTTAAAGAAAATCTCAAAAAGTTTACCTGAGTAAAGGCTTGTGGCCCACTTGAGTAATTCAAAGAGGGTGGCACTCCAGTTGCACCAGGTGGTATGTTCTGATAACCAGGCAGTAAGGAGGGATATGAATATCCAACACTTCGGCTCATTTTGGGATTCTTGTTAGTAAGCTGTGGTGTTGCTAGAAACAAGGTAACTTTTAAGTTCTATTTTATACTCCAGAATACTTAATTTATTAAAAAAACATTTTTTTTGGAGAAAGAGTTTCAATAACACCCAGGCTGCAGTACAGTGGGGCAATCACACCTCACCACAGCCTTAACTTCCTGGGCTCAAGTGATCCTCCTGTATCAGCCTCCCAAGTAGGTGAAACAAGTGATATATGCCACTATGCCTGGCTAATGTTTTCATATTTTTTGTAGAGATGGGACTTCACCATGTTGTCCAGGCTGGGATTACAGGCGTAAGCAACCACGCCTGGCCCAGAATGTTTTAAATCAACACATAAATCTAATAAATTACAGATACTATAACTCCAAAATTCTTTGGATAATTTAATACTTTCATTTATCAACTTTGTAAAATAAGACACACACCAGTAACAAAGTAATAGCAATGATTAAAATCTATTTATTTTATTTTATTTTTTAAAGACAGGGTTTCACCATGTTGGTCAGGCTGGTCTTGAACTCCTGACCTCAGGTGATCCGCCCGCCTTGGCCTCCAAAGTGCTTGGATTACAGACGTGAACCACTGCGCCCGACCTTTTTATTTTATTTTTTAAGGCAGAGTCTCACTCTGTCACCCAGGCTGGAGCGCAGTGGCACGATCTCAGCTCAGTGCAACCCCCGCCTCCTGGGTTCAGGTGATTCTCCTACTTCAACTTCCCAAGTAGCTAGGACTACAGGCGTGTGCTACCACATCTGGCTAATTTTTGTTTGTTTATTTGAGACACGGTTTCACTATGTTGGCCAGACTGGTCTCAAACTCCTGACCTCAGGTGATCCGCCTGCCTTGGCTTCCCAAAGTGCTGGTATTACAGGCATGAGCCACTGTGCCTGGCCAAAAATCTGGTTAATAGATTTATCCTAATTAATATTTTATACTATAGTAGTAGACATATAAAAACTAGTTCGCACAGTTAATTTACTTTCATATCAGCTGGGTGTGGTGGCTCATGCCTGCAATCCCAGCACTTTGGGAGGTTGAGGCGGGTGGATCACCCGAGGTTAGGACTTGGAGACCAGCCTGGCTAACATGGTGAAATCCCATCCATCACTACCAAAAAATAAAAAAATTAGCCAAATGTGGTGGCACGCGCCTGTAGTCCCAGCTACTCAGGAGGGTGGGGTGGGAGAATTGCCTGAATCCGCGAGGCAGAGGTTGCAGTGAGCTGAGATTGTGCCCACTGCACTCCAGCTTGGGCGACAGAGGGAAACTCTGTCTCAAACAAACAAGCAAACAAAAGAACAGTTAATGGCCGGGCGCGGTGGCTCAAGCCTGTAATCCCAGCACTTTGGGAGGCCGAGGCGGGTGGATCACGAGGTCAAGAGATCAAGACCATCCTGGTCAACATGGTGAAACCCCGTCTCTACTAAAAATACAAAAAATTAGCTGGGCATGGTGGCACGTGCCTGTAATCCCAGCTACTCAGGAGGCTGAGGCAGGAGAATTGCCTGAACCCAGGAGGCGGAGGTTGCGGTGAGCCGAGATCGCGCCATTGCACTCCAGCCTGGGTAACAAGAGTGAAACTCTGTCTCAAAAAAAAAAAAAAAAAAAAAAAAACAGTTAATTTACTTTCATATAATGCATTAAATTTTGTATTTAGACTAAAATTTTAATTTAAAACAACTTTAATAAAAACATCCAGCTGGCCTCACAGCTGTAATCCCAGCCCTTTGGGAGGCCGAGGCGGGTGGATCACGAGGTTAGGAGATTGAGACTATCCTGGTTACCACAGTGAAACCCTGTCTCTACGAAAAAATTAGCTGGGGTGGTGGCACGCGCCTGTAGTCCCAGCTACTTGGGAGGCTGAGGCAGGACAATCGCTTGAACCCAGGAGGGGGAGGTTGCAGTGAGCAGAGATCACACCACTGCACTCCAGCCTGATGACAGAGCAAGACTCCCTTTCAAAACAAAACCAAAACAAAACATCCTAAAAGGGCTGGGTGAGGTGGTTCACACCTGTAATCCCAGCAAATCGGAGAACCAAGGCAGGAGGGATCCCTTCAGGCTAAGGGTTCGAGACCAGCTTAGGCAATATCGCGAGAACCCCCCCCATTTCTACAAAAATTAAAAAACTAGCCTGGCATGGTAGCATATGCCTGTAGTCCCTGCTACTTCAGAAGGGTGTGGTGGAAGATCGCCTGAGCCCAGTTATTTGAGGCTGCAGAGAGCTATAACAGTGCTACTGTACTTGAGCCTGGGTGACAGAGACCTTGTCCCTAAAAAAAAAAAAAAAAAAAATCCTAAATGTGTTCTACAGTCAAAACATAGTAATAATAAAGTCCATGATCCCAATTCTGACAGGAAGAAGAACTAACAGAAAATCTAAATGCACAGAAATAAAAAAATGTTAAAATAGTAGAGCCAGATGTTGTGGCACATGCTTATTATCCCAGCACTTTGAAAGGGCAAAATGGGAAGATAGCTTGAGCCCAGGAATTCAAGACCAGCCTGGGTAACATGGTGAAACCCTGCCTCTACAAAACGTACAAAAAATAGCCAGGGGCCGGGCACAGTGGCTCATGCGTACAATCCCAGCACTTTGGGAGGCCAAGGCAGGTAGATCACTTTCAGTCAAAAGTTTGAGAACAGCCTGGCCAACATGGCGAAATCCCATCTCTACTAAAAATATAAAAATTAGCAGGATGTGGTGGTGGGTGCCTCTAATCCCAGCTAATTGTGAGAGTGAAATGGGAGAATCACTCGAACCCGGGAGGCAGAGGTTGCAGTGAACCAAGATCTCGCCACTGCACTCCAGCCTAAGCAACAGAGCGAGACTCAGTCTCAAAAGTCAAAAACAAAAACAAAAAAGCTGGGCATGGTGGCAGTGCCTATAGCTCTAGCTTCTCAGGAGGCTGAGGTGGGAGGACTGCTTGAGCCCAGAAGACTAAGGCTGCTGTGAGCCGTAATTACACAACTGCACTCCACAGCCTGAGCAATAGTGTGAGACCCTGTGTCCAATAAATAAATAAATAGTATGTATGGCTACATAATTATAAAGTTTCCTATAATGAGCATACATTCCTGCAATGACCACATATTATTTCTATAATCAGAAAAAAGAGATTAAAAAAAAACTTTCATAGCATCTCACCCAAGAAGCCACCTCCTTCAATCTCATCGTAGCTACTGTGGACCACCATAGATCCATTATTGGTATTTGATGTAATACCTAAGAGTGAAGTTAATTAACAAGATTTTAATTAGAATGATTACAATCTCTGTATGATTTTAACTAATGTCCAAAATTTTAGATAATTTTCTAAACAACAAATAGTTTAAAACAACAATCTATTAAAAACATCAAAAATCCCAGTTTTTACATATACAATAGTTTCAAATAATTTAGCTGCAACTTCAGGGAAAAGAAACATGAGTCCTTGGGAGGAGTCTTTCATCTTATATTGTACCTAAACCAAAAGCCCAAATAACAAGGCTTTTTCATAACCCACTCCAGCAAAATAACTTTCAGCAATGGGTGGTTCTTTATGAAATCTATAAAATTACATACCATATGAAAGATTTCAGCAATTGTGAGAACTGCAGTAAAAACCTCTAAGGGAAAAGCCGGGCGCGGTGGCTCAAGCCTGTAATCCCAGCACTGTGGGAGGCCGAGGCGGGTGGATCACGAGGTCAAGAGATCGAGACCATCCTGGTCAACATGGTGAAACCCCGTCTCT